CAATAAAGAAAGCCTCAGAGACTAGGACAGAAATACCCCAGGGAATTTGCCAGGGAGGGAGGAGTAGGCAAAGTTGGGGGGGAAGAAAGTAGATGAAAGCCTTCAAGGACAAGTACCCAAAAGCTTGCAAAGAACAATTTTTCCAACTATTTAGTTGGTCTAATGAAAGATGCATCACATTTACCCAAAGAACCTTGTCTGCTTAAAGGAGAAGTAACATTTCAAAGTGGATAACACACTTCCGTGCTAAAAACCTCAGATAAAGCCACACACACAGAAGGGCAAGAACAAGCCCACCTCTTTGCCATCATGTACACCAGGCTAAAACGCAAAACAAAACCAAGGATCTTACCTTTGGAGGTCTCGATCAAGTGAGCCTCGGGGTTGGGATACGACTCGGAATGGCTAGAAGAAAGATCAGCAGAGCCTCGGCGATTCAGCAACCACTGACCGTCTTGGGCAGACAGGCCTTTTCGGGGCCTGACCTGTAAATACATCTCTGAGGTTTTAGGCCTCCTGGTCCACAACAGTAATAGTGTGCCAAGTGTGACTGGCATTCTGCTGGACATGCACAACAGCAGCAAATTAGAGGAGCTATGCACAATACGGGCAGAGTCTCCAAGGTCTGAGGGAACGTTAGTGGCCCACCGGGTGCCTAACTTCCTTCTGTGCCTTCAACATTGCTCCCCTTGATTTACACCACTGATTCTCAACCTGGGTGCCTTGAAATCCTTTCAGGGGGATGCACAATGCTCATACTATAAGGTATGCAAACACAATTCACAAGATATACCCAGAGATTTCAAACAGGAAGCCACAGTGTTAAAAATATTCTGATCCATTGCGGGCTGAGTTCTTTTCAACAAAAAAGGCTGTATTATTTTTCCACACTCACAAAATGAGTTAAAACTAAAAGCTGGCATTTTGAGGGGTGCCTCCCATTTAAGGTTGAGAATCAATGGTCTATACTTCAGATTTAATTCAGACATTAATCCCGTGAAATAAAATTTCCCTCACAGGGATTTCCAATAGCAACTAATGTCTAAACCAAGACAATCCATTGCCTAAAAAAAATAAAAAGCATTTCAGTAAGAAGTTCAAGAGCCCCTTTATGTAGAGGCCTTGTTTGTCTCCTTGGTTTTCCAGTGCCATGCATGTTAACAGCAACGAAATAAGTAACTGATATGATGCTGATTAGGTTACCTGGTTGTGGGTATAAAATTTAACTGGATTTAAGTGACCCTTTGGCCAGCAGTCAAATCTCTCCATATGAAATACTTCTCCTAGCTAACACTTTCCCTAGCTAAAACGCTTCAAACAAAATTGCTGCTGTGTTCCCTGCAGTCACTAGAGTCAGTCTAAGTGTCGTCCCCACCCGAAAACTGGAAGGGCTCACTACATCTCACCTGCACAAAAACAATCAAATTGTTATTGCAGCTGCTGTGTGTGTCCAGGTTCTGCATGCTAGAGCCGACAAACTGCACGAATTGCTTCTCATTCCACCCGGATCGTACACAGTACGCCTGGATGAAAGAAAGCTGCCTGCCTGAAATCCTGATTGCATTCCAGCCCCCCAAATTCTCTAGTGAAAAAACTAATGTCTACTGACAGTTAAGGCAATAGTCCTAGTTACTATGAAATACCAGTACTGTTCTGCACTTAAGCTTAAGCCAGCATGTACAGTACAGACACAGGCTCATGTCTCTCCCCCAAGGCTGAAGTATTAATTTTGCATCATCCAACAAGGAGAAAGCTTTAATAAAAGACAAGCATGGGATACTTCCTTAGCTTGCATCACATTTAAAACATATCAAAAGACATCCAAGACACTCCTACCTGAGGTTGGCTATTGCTGGCAGCACCTGAAGATGAAGACTCCCCTGGGAATTGAAGAAAGACAAAACCTGAGAATGAAACTCAGTGCACTGGGCTATCCTGAGCTTCCTAGGACTAGGCACAGGGAGGAATCTGGCCAATAGAATTTACTTACAAGAGCCATCGCGGAGTTTGTATGGTCTGATTTGCAACACATTTTAGACCTTGTACAAATCCTTTATCTTATGGGACAGGAAGCTATTTTATATCAAGCCAAGCCACACCTAAAAGCTCTGTCCAAAACACAAACAGTACTAAAGAGTTAGCTTTGTTTAAAAAAAAACAAACAAAAAAAACTGCTTTGGTCTGTTCACGAAAGAGATAAGCCATGGGCAGTCATGACTAGGTAAGAGACGGAGAGGAGGCTGCAGTTATGAAAAAGGGAAAACACTATTAAAAACAGCAGCTAGAATATCATGCCTTAAAGCTTCCCTGCAGGACCTTCATTGACCTGGCTCTTGCCTCCGCCTCCACCCCCACCCCTCCCCTGATATTATAACCTTCCTCCCCTCTACTCAAAGGTTATTTGCTGCTCCAGAACTCACCAAGGGATATTCAACACTCAGGAATCAACGATGCTAAAATGCTTAAGAACAATGCAAAGCCAGTCCTAGGCTAGGCTGGACAAGTTGCAACACTAGTAGCTTGGCCACACTCCCATCTCCTGCACTACTGCAGTGCTTAAACAACTGAGCCCTTAACTTCCAAGTTAAGCGTAGGAAACAAAAAGCCATTGTTAACAGCAGAAGGGAAGCAATTCCTCTCTTATGCTTCCTTCTCCCCACCAATACACTGCAAAACGGAACAGGAGCTGATGAGACCACCCCCCTTTGGGCATCATTGCTGCCTTTTGAATTCCTGAGCTAATATTTGCATAAGAGTAATGCAGTAGTTTGAGCCCTTTTCCTTTCACAGCAGCCCCCGGCCCATCACATGACCAGAGTCACCTCCCACTGGGCTAAGTCTAACACTATTCCAATTAAAAAAGGAAAGGAACAAACAGACTTTTAGGATCAAACAATTACATCTTGGATTTCCCTACCTCCAACTAGGGAGTCTCTTGGTTCAGTAGGAACAGTGACACTTCCCCTAGGCCGTGAATCCTGCCTTCGGCCTATCTTTCAAAAAGGACAAATGTTGATAAGCTAAATGGAAAGTCAAATGGGCTGGAGGGCTCAAGAGACTTTAATGAGGGACATAGGTTGTAGCCGTGTTGGTCTAAGGCCATTCATTCCATCCAGGAACAGCACACACCAACTACAGATGCTTCCTCAGCCTGATGAAGGGTATTTATACCCAAAAGCTTGCAAAGGAGAATTTTTCCAACTATTGAGTTGGTCTAATAAAAAAAATACCAGATTTACCCAAAGGACCTTTAATGAAGAGGAGAACTGAAATGTCTTCAAGTGCAAGGCAGTTAAACTATCAGGAGTCAGTATCTTAAGTAAGGGGCTCCAGAGCTGACTGAATAAGATGGCTACCTCAGGAGGGATACTGGGAATAACCAGAGAGATTACAAATATTGGGAAATAATGTCTAACAACAAAGCAAGCAGGATCTTGGAGGTCAAGAAGGGTAGAGATAGGTATACAATGAAAATTAGCATGAGCTTTTGTGAAGTCAAGCTCACTTTATCAGAAGCGCTCTATAGGCAATTGTATTTAGTTAGTCTATAAGGTACATATCTACCCTGCCTTCTACTTGACTTCAGGCTAACTGCCTCTAAAATGAGAACTGTTAGAGGGCAAGCTCAGATGGAGCTTGTAAAGAATATTAAAGCAAATAGTGCGGAAGGTCCCTCAGCATACAAGGTTAACAACATTTTAGGACAATTCTATAGGAAAGAACTGAAAACTTGGTAGTTAATGGGAAACCCTATGAAATGCTGTGTGGGTTTACCTAAGGTTGACTGTGCCAAAGTAACCAGATAGCTTTCTTCGAAAAGATAAGCACTTTCTTAAACAAAGGAAACGCAAAAGATCTTTCATCTGCACTTCAGTTAAGTCTTAGATTTGATGTCACATGGAAACTAGAGATAAGTACAAGAATTTAAGGTGGTTAGGAACTGGCTAAAGGGAAGACAACAATGGTAATATTAAACAGGAGAGGTGCCAGACTGGAGGGAGGGAACAAGAATCCGTTTTGGAACTTATCTTATTAAATATTTTCATCTGTGATCTCGGCACAAAGTGGCAAGCGCTGGTGAAATGGCCTGCTGAAGAAGTTGGGAGATGGCAGTGCTAAGAAGAATCGGGGCACTGAACAAAGAAAACTGGATGACAGACGGGAGTAATAAATACAGAAGGAAAAATCAGTAGCATGAAATGGTCCTACACTGGGGACTAAAAACAAATCTTCAGCTACCAACTAGGGGCTCATCACCTGGAAGTGACCGAGGAAATACAAACCTAGGATGCCTCTGGCAAGGCACCATATTTCCAGCAGAGAGGGGGAAGTATTGGCACCCTTGTAAGACAATGGTGAAACTCATGAAGAACACTGGACAATTCTGGTTGCCCACGTTAAAAATAATTAACTTCAAATTGGAACAGGTGCAGGGAAGGGTTACTAGGGTGAGCAGGGCAATCAGGGGCCTATATGAGAGAAGCCTAAAAAAGGTCGTTTAAGCTAACAAAAAATGCAGGCTGAGAGGGAACGTGATTGCTGCATATAAAAGTGTCACGAGGTAAACACCAGATGAGCAGAAGAGCTAAAGAATGGTGCTGGTACATGAATAAGAAATAAACTGGCTAAGAACAAGTCTAGGCTGAAAACTGGAGAAACAGGGAGGTTCTGAATGGCTTTCCAATCAATGCAGAGGAGGCAAAACACTAATTTCACTTAAGAGAGTTGTAGTAAGCATCTAAGTAGGTGGTGTGGTGCTTCTGATAACAGGGGACTGGATTTTGGTGACTGAAAAGATCACAAGTAACTTCCATCAACAATTCGTCCATTAAAGGGTCTGGGCCCACAGCCTCTGCAGTACTTGTGTCCTGTGCCAGAGCGAGAGTCCAACTAGGAGCTCAGGCGTGCCTTTGACTGCACTGTGTTTCATGTGTTGTGTAATCAGTCATATACTATCAGTATATTAAACAGGCAAAGAGAAAGAGTAGGAGGAAGGGGCAGCGCTGTCAGTAGCAGCTTACACTGAAGTCTGGCAACAATGGTGCTATGTAATACAGACTTTCCAAGCCAACACTGCTAAACTTTCCAATTGCTTCAACCCCAGGACCCTTCTGAGTTGGGACTGCACAGCCCCAACCTGAAAGGCACTGCACTTTTGTTTTGGGCAATGAACAAGCTTTGCCAATGGCTGATGGGAAACTGATGACCTCTTGGGCCACTGCTGTACATGTAGGGATTATGGGCTGGAGTGAAGAAATGAAAGTCAGCATCTTATAAACACACTAGTACAAAAAACAAAACAAAAAAACCCTGTAGATTTTGCAGGGCAGGCAGTCAGTCTTGGATCATAGTGACCCCTGGCTCATTCTCAGGATGTGACCTTTATTTGTAGCACTGGTGCGTGAAGATCTCAACTAAGTCCCCAGAACTCTAGCTTGTGTGTTTACATATAACCCATCTTTCATCTGAAAGGACTTTCCCTGAAGGACAATCACATGCAACAATAGCCAGCTGCAAAACGTGAAGCAGTACACAACGCACACTGGCTCCTAGATCCCACCTGGAGTCAGAGAAGGACGATCCCTCTGGGAGAAGAGAACAGAGTTCAGTATATCTGGTGGCATGGCTAGATTTTCAGCCAATGCCTAGAGGGGGCTTATCTTGTACGTGTTTGTTTGCTTCTTTTGTTCATTTACTTTTCTAATTGGCTTTGACACCCAGCAGTGTGCTTGTTGATTTAGGATTGTGATGCCAGGGCCAGACCCTCAGCTGATGTGAACTGCCATCTCTGGATTAACTTCAAAGCAAACTCCACTGACTGACATCTGCTGAGGATGCAGCCCCTTTGTATTTACATACTTGTATCTGTTTGACTCACTTAACCAGATTTTTTCCCTAGTGGCATTAGGCCGGATAGATGTGTGCTTTTATCTGTGTTTGTTTCATTTGCCTTGGGCCTGAGGTTCACTGTTTAATTTATACATTAAACATGTCAGCTCCCTAGCATCTCACTTGGTTGAAAGGGAAAGAAACCTCCTCTCCTCAACATGCATCTTGGGCAAAAATACTTTAAACCCTCTTTACCTAAAGAAAAAGGAGAGTGCCAGGACCAGGCAAGGGGCACACAAGCATGCAAGCAAACCACTGCAGTGCAGAACTCAGCCACCCACTATGGAAACACAGGTAGGATCATTCATATTACATGCACCAACCCAGGCAGTCAGGGAATTGCACTCTTTCTAGGCAGGGCTCTTACCTTTTGCTTTTCTGTCTCCTGCAACTGTCTTTTTAGTTTCAGCTGTAAGCAACAGCTCATAAGGATGCTCCTCTTCCTCAGCAGCACTTCCCCTGCTCTTCCTCTGTGTGACAGTGGCCTACAAGACACAGCACATTGTAGTTGCCTGTCAGGAAACCCATTTTATTTACCCCTGTGATAAGTAATGCACAGGGTCCTCTTTGCTTCATGGCTCAGACCACACACCTGGTGCAGACTTCACATCCTTAGCTATAGGACTATAATCTGGAACCTGAAATTACCATTAAAAAAAAATTAAGAGTGCTATTTTTTAACACTTAAAATTGAAGAAAGCTCCCCAGCACTGACTGAACTGATACACAGTGATGACTTCATGAATTTGCAGACAGCCTGAAAAAGAGCAGAGACCTGTCCCCCTATTTATCTTAACAGAATGTTAACTCAGACCACTGGATGCAAATTTGCAGAGCCATGTTAACTGTTTAGCTGCTGATTGTACCTAAAAGCCTAGCTGCCTCTGTCAAAGCCTTCCATGCGCACCAAAACCACAAATGGCATTTTTGATGCTGAGTCACATGGCACACTTAAAACTGAGCAGACCTAGGGTAATGCAATATAAAAACTGAATTTGATAGAGTAAGACAGTGATCGAATCATCATATTCAAGTCAAGAAAAACATCATGTTTTTAATGCATCTTTACCAGCTTCTGATTCTCTAGTCAAGTGCAAAATACAGGAGTCCTGCTGCAGAACTGAAGTCAAACTTGGCCTAGATTACACATGTTGTCCCTCAGATGCCTGCCCGCACTGCTCGCAGATGATGTGTACACCCAGCTTCCCAGACCTCCAAAACGTACAATCCTTGATTTGCTCCAACTTCCCAGCTAATAGGACGACTACACACGTTACATTTTGAGCCTGCTTACAGCCCTTCCCTGCTTGGTCAAGTGCGCGTTGACTCCACCTGTAGATCAGGTCCCAGAAACCTTTTTGTAACTGCACTGCTGCAACGGTGACAGAGTCCACCTCAACTAATGTAATTTCTGTCAGAGTGACTAAACCAAAACCCAAGGTCAGGAAGTCAAACCACTCAACCTGCTGGCCGGGTAGGAAAAAAACAGTCTACTCAACAAGGTCATGCCCTCCAAAGGATGCAAAAGACCTTGCTGCCCAGGGCCAGTCTACTGGGATGCTGGAGACTACCAAAATTCATCCCCAGATGAATGTCAATCATTTGATGCAACAAATTTGAACATCTTTCCCTTTTCTAGATAGGGACGGTCTACCCATCTATGTGGCAACTAGGCGGCGCTCTAAATCAGCCTGTAGCACTATGGCAAAGACAGAAAGAAGTTGCAGGCCTCAGCCACGTGCTACACTCACATATTGCTTTTGCCTAAACCCCGTCTGCTTTTAAATCCGTGTCCCAGTGGAAAGCAGCAGCCTGCCCAGCACAGTTTATTCTACCTGTATTTTGAGCAAAAAGTGAAACTTCATGAGCAGTAAGTTCCTTCTCAGGTGGAACTGTTCTGGACAGGAGCAAATTAAGAAACTTCTGACCAGATGGTGCTGTAGGAACATGAAAAACCATTACCAGTTGGTAATGGGCTTTAGCCAGAGCTCCTGGAAATACTAGACAGCAGCAGGCTTGTTGCAACAGTTATAACCAGGATCAAGCCAGGCATAAATATACTTTTAATACTCCCACAGCTGACTCTTCTTATGAAGCTCTACTTCAAATGTGATGAATGCATTCATGACAAATCCTACGGCTCCTAGAATCTGCTGCTGTGCTGAAGAACTTTGTACGTCCTCTGGTTTTATTAGGTGGAGGGTTGTATGAATATTTCAGCTTGTGTGGGTTTGGGTACACACCATTTTCCTCATTGCACAGACACCAACCCTCTACTGCAGCTTTGTGTTCCAACGAACTCAAAACCACAAAGTGAAACTCAGAAGTCCAAGACTCAGAAGTCTGCTTGCCTTTGGTGGTGAACCCTACCCAACCCAATTGCAGGAGAAAGCCAAAATAAAGCTTTCCCCGATTTGACCTTTACTTATTTACATGCTCTGGTCTGCAGTCAAACACCCGTACTCCGACAGAGTTGTCAGTGAAGAATGTGAGATAGTCTGTAACAGGTGCCTTCTAATTTTCACAGGTAAAACTTCAGGTCCATCCTCAAACATTGCACAGTGTGCTAGCATGTTTTGTTAACTGCTACTCTGACTCCAAGAGGTGACAGTGGCTTTTGCTGCTGCTGAATGGCAGGTATGCAAGGTGGCATCCTCCTTTTGGAAAGAAAGAAAGGCAGGTCCTCTTTCCACATCTGCTAAAAGAGTTGAGACCCTGGTCATTTTGGAGCATCAGACAAGGAATACTGCTTTTTATTTAAAGCCAATACACCCAATCTACTGTTACTTTCCATCTTCTGTTACAGGTTGAGGAAAAAAAAAGGCAATTTTATTTTTCTCTATTTTGTTCTGATCATCTGGACTTGGAGAAAAGGTAGGGAGAAAAGAAGAATGTAAGACCTCTTCTTACATTCTTCTTTTCCCCCCACCTTTTCTCCCCTCCCCTACTTTTCTGCCCTTTTTCTTCCCGATGCCCTACCATTTCCCTTTTGACTGATAGCCTCTTTTTTGTCTTGTTTTATTACCACTGTAGTGTTTCCCTTTGGCCTTTTTTGTCCCCTGCTTTCTTCCTCCTCCCTTCCCCCACTTTACCTTTTGTCTTTCTAATCTCTACCTATTTACATTCTCACTGACATCCGCCACATTTTTAGCTTCTCTCATTCCTTGGAGTCTCACACCAGCAGAGACTTTCTATGCCTAAAGAAGGATGACTGCGCCCAAAAGCTTGCTAAGAACTTTTTTCCAACTACTCAGTTGGTCTAATAACAGAGATCACTTCTACTTAACAACACTGAGCATTAAGACTTACCTGCTTTGAGATGGGTAACATGCCTATACCCAAACCACTGAAATGGACTGATTTCATATAAGATGACA